GTGTGTGTGCGTGTGCGTGTGCGTGTGTGTGTGTGTGTGTGAGTGTGTGTGTGTGTGCGTGCGTGTGTGTGCGTGTGAGTGTGTGACTCACCTGTGTGAACAGGTGAGCACTGAATCATTTCAGTAAGTGTCTTATAATCTAATATAGTTTTGCATCGTGCATGAGTTCATCCTGTTAGAGTCGAGTGTGTGTGTTTATCCTGTTCACTCACGTCCTGTTAGTATGCTGTTGATAATATGAGTATATGCGCTGTAAAGTGTCAGATTTGGACACACAGTGGTCCGTCCGACAGCCTGCCTTACATTATCAGATCATCTCACAGCTGCTCCTGCGTCTGTCTTACACAATATCCCATCATAATACAGCCACAGACATTACAGGCTGCTCAATCATCTGCAATAACATTACATAAGATTTTAATAATAATCATTACATAACATAAACACTTCTTTTTGAGGGATACATTATATCTTTTATTCTTAATTATACCAATTATTGCAATTAAATAATATTAATAAATAGTAAATAAATAAAATAATATGAATTAGTTAATTTATCTTCTTTCAATAGGCCTACTTAACTTCAAATATTTTGGAAAACAATTATTTTATAAACATTATATAATATAATAATATAATTAAAATAAATGTAATGTAATTCATGCATTATTTTCTGTGATGCTGCACAGTGTTATTCAAAGTCAAAAAAGCTGATTATGAAGTAAAAACCATAAAATCAATTTATTCTGATCTATAAAATCAAAATAATTCAAACAATATCTATATCATTTAAATAAAAAAACAATTATTTTATGAACAAATCATATTATATAGTATAATAATTTAAATAATATAATTATTAAAAAATAATATTGTTACTCAGCTTATTTGTATTTTCTGTCATGTGCATTGTTTTGTAAAGTCTAAAAGTTGATTATGAAGTCAGATATACAGAAGAACTCTATTAAGTCAAATTAATAAATATTTTTTATTAATATGTGGCTATCATAAGGCTATGATCTGCATCTGTCTTAATCTACAGTAGATGTTAGTTTAAGATTTTTTTTTTTATTAATCTTCTTTCAATACTTTGCTTTCCAAAATATCTGAAATAATTATTTTATAAACAAATAATATCATATAATAATATGCATTTATTATTATTATTAAACATATGATATTATTATTTAATACTTTATTTGCATTATTTTCTGTCATGCACATTGTTTTTCAAAGTCAAAAAATATACAGACTTAAAAACATTAAATAAAAAAAACATTTACAATAAACCCATTAAATCAACAACGACAACAAAAGTTCACAAATAAATATTTATCCTAAAGATGATCATTTGCAGATGTTAGTTTAACCACACTTTTGGTATTTATCATCTTTCAGAACTTTGTTTCCCAAAATATCTGAAGTAATATTTTATAAACAAATAAAATAATACTATAATGTATGTAATATAATTGTTACAAATAATAATATTATTATATATTATATTATTTTTAATTAATCTAATTATTAATATAATTTCACTCAGTGTAGTCAAAAAAGTCATTATAAAGTCAGATAAATATTTTCCCTAAAGATGATAAATATAGTTCACTGATAAATATTTTTCCCAAAGACTTTATCAACAGTAGATGTTAGTTTAAGAACAATTTCAGCTCCTGTGAGCAGGTTTAATCCGGTTAAAATTACCTTCCCAGAAAATTGAGAGCACTTCCTGATCTTGTTTCTCATTCTGAGCTGTGATTGGCTACGCAGCAGGATGTGCGCAGGGTTTAAGAAGCCCTAAAATTAAGAGGACAGGAAACTTACCAGCGGTGATTTATTTCAAGAAGCCTGTGAAAGACCTTTAGCAAACGTCTGCAAATGTTTATACAGAACAGTGCTAACTTCAGTCAGCAGAATCATGATGAAAGTTTCATCTAACCCAGATCAGGTTTATCTGATACCTCTGCTATTCAGTTATATGGACATGTTTTTCATTCATAAACTGCATTAAGCTCCATAAATAAATATTAATATCTCTCAGCGAGATGTCCAGTGTATTCATTACCAGAACAATCCTAATAAAATAAAAGCAGCGTGAATCAGTCGCTTCTGAAGCTTCTCAATGTCTCTCTGAATTTAAATACTGCTAATTAGTGTCATTAATCTGTTGCACCTGTTTCATGAGAAACGAGCACATTCAGCTGTATTTAATTAGAATATTTAATGCTGATCTGTTTGTACTGTGTTCAGGACAGAAGTGTGCAGCCACATTCACAAAGGTTACAGTGAACTTAACACTATAATCCAGTCATGTTCATCTGCTGTACTCGGTAATAAGTGAGTGAAACTACTGCCACCAGGTGGAAACCTAGTCAATTACACTCAGTTCAAACCACCCAAAACCGAAAATATCTATTCATTTTGACCTAAACTAGTCTTTTAAGATCAAATGACCACAATAAACCATCAGTTATTTATACAAACACTCACCAGTAGATATAAAAGAGCCGCCATCAGCATCATCAGACCAAATACAAGCAAAATCAGTCTGATGATCCAACGGCACGAAGACCTCCAGGACAACAGGGGGCGCTGGTGTGGTGTGAGACGTCTGCAAACATCAGATAGCAAGTCAGCGGTATGATTTACGCTCATAAATTATGATAAATACATGTAAACTTACAGCTCAAGGTTGGACCCCTCCCCTCGATCTGGCTCCTCCCCCTCAAATGAGCTTCCCCTCGTTTCGACTGGAGAATAACAACGGCGACGACACACCGTCGCACTGGCGAATATGAAGTTCGGTCACATGCACTTACATAATGTATGTAATACATATCTCAAAGTACTGCTTGCGTTTTACCTTTGAAACACGCGGTCATCTTGGTTTAGACGGTTCACAGGAGAATCTGCTGGAACTACGTCTAAAAGAGATGCATGCAGGAAACAGTCAGTCTTTCTGGTTAATTAAAGTTTTAGCTACCCTCAAACTTAAGGATGTGTATTTTTGCCTCCTGTCTGCTTGCGTATCAGGCCTCTTCTTTGAGTACGCACTGGTTTTGCAGCTCTCCAGAAATGACGTCTCTAGATGCTTCAACTGCAGAGAAGAAACCAACATAAAGACTCATGAAAACATTCAGATGCTAAACCCGAAGAACTGAACGCTGGAAACTGAACCAGAAACACGTGCCTCAGATTGAGTCGGAAGTAAGGTGATGCTGACCCTGCGACGTGTCAGCTACGACATAAACACAGGCTGTTATCGATGGTTGAACACATGTCAGAATAAAACAAAAATAATGATAATGAGACTTCATATCTATCAAGCTCCAAAAAATGCTTTGAACTGTCATTGTATGGAAAAGAGTGGCATAACGCTGCATAAAGGGGTTTGAAATGACATAAAAGTTAGTAAATAATTACACAATTTATTATTCATATTTTGGCCTACTAACCCTTTAAATATGAGTTACTAAGTTATTGAGGTACTGATAGGAGTCTAATATTTAATTCATGGTCAGTTACCTGTTGTGATGAATGTCTGAACAGGTCTCGGTCATCTATTTGAGGAATATATAAGAGTACAGATTTATTTAAATACTGGGATGTGATTCTTAGATGTCCTCCAGGCCACTAGGGGCAGCACTGACTTGTGGAGTCACTGTGTAATCGGCCCTTCCTCCTGTGCAGCAGCTTCCTGACCTCCAGCATCTCCTCGCTCACTGTTGCATGGCGTCTCTTCAGATGCTCCATGTGCACTGACATCAGCTCTACTGCATAACTGACTCGCGCTTCCTGAAAATACGAACAATGCATGGTTATAAAAAGGCTCAGTGCAATGTCTGTGGTGTGACATCTCTGGTTTGAGGTGTTTTATTTTGTAATATACCTGGTGTGCAGCACCAAGCATCTCCTGGTTTTGCAGCTCTCCAGAAATGACGTCTCTAGATGCTTCAACTGCAGAGAAGAAACCAACATAAAGACTCATGAAAACATTCAGATGCTAAACCCGAAGAACTGAACGCTGGAAACTGAACCAGAAACACGTGCCTCAGATTGAGTCGGAAGTAAGGTGATGCTGACCCTGCGACGTGTCAGCTACGACATAAACACAGGCTGTTATCGATGGTTGAACACATGTCAGAATAAAACAAAAATAATGATAATGAGACTTCATATCTATCAAGCTCCAAAAAATGCTTTGAACTGTCATTGTATGGAAAAGAGTGGCATAACGCTGCATAAAGGGGTTTGAAATGACATAAAAGTTAGTAAATAATTACACAATTTATTATTCATATTTTGGCCTACTAACCCTTTAAATATGAGTTACTAAGTTATTGAGGTACTGATAGGAGTCTAATATTTAATTCATGGTCAGTTACCTGTTGTGATGAATGTCTGAACAGGTCTCGGTCATCTATTTGAGGAATATATAAGAGTACAGATTTATTTAAATACTGGGATGTGATTCTTAGATGTCCTCCAGGCCACTAGGGGCAGCACTGACTTGTGGAGTCACTGTGTAATCGGCCCTTCCTCCTGTGCAGCAGCTTCCTGACCTCCAGCATCTCCTCGCTCACTGTTGCATGGCGTCTCTTCAGATGCTCCATGTGCACTGACATCAGCTCTACTGCATAACTGACTCACGCTTCCTGAAAATACGAACAATGCATGGTTATAAAAAGGCTCAGTGCAACGTCTGTGGTGTGACATCTCTGGTTTGAGGTGTTTTATTTTGTAATGTACCTGGTGTGCAGCACCAAGCATCTCTGCTGTTTTGAGGACATTGTCCATGTTGTTTTCCAGCACCTGAAGGTTATTTACCATCTGATGCACCATCTTACTGCTGTCCACCTCTGGCAGATGCTCATACAACACCTGTAGGACAACACAAACCTTTCACAACACTCTTATAACCCTTTGAAACGCCCCGCAACCTTCTCACAACACTCCCCCAACCATTCCACAACGCTATCACAACCATTCCACAACACTCCCACAACCATTCCACAACACTCCCACAACCATTCCACAATGCTCTCACAACCATTCCACAACACTCTTACAACGCTCCCACAACACTCCCACAATGCTCTCACAACGCACTCACAACCATTCCACAACACTCCCACAACGCTTCCACAACACTCCCACAACCATCCCACAACAATCCCACAACGCTCTCACAACCCCCCCACAACGCTCTCACAACCATTCCACAACACTCTCACAACACACTCACAACCATCCCACAACCATTCCACAACGCTCTCACAACACTCTCACAACCATCCCACAATGCTCTCACAACAATCCCACAATGCTCTCACAACCATCCTACAATGCTCTCACAACCATTCCACAACGCTCTCACAACAATCCCACAACGCTCTCACAACCATTCCACAACGCTCTCACAACACTCCCACAACAACAACCATCCCACAACACTCCCACAGCCCTCAGTATCATCTCAGGCGTGTATGCGGTACCTGTAGCATCTCTCTGCTCTGTCTCAGCTCTCTCTGCAGGTTCTCCACTGCGACGCTGCGGTCGTGTCGCTCCGCCTGCAGCCGCTGTGTCAGCGTGTACTGGTCGCAGTGAAACCCCAGTGCAAACTGGGTAAACGCGCTCTGTGTGTGTGCGTGCTCTTAGATGTTACTGACATCTGGAGGCGTTCAACTCTACATCTAACAAACTTTCAGACAGACTCACCTCCACTTCCTCCTCCGTCATCTCCACACTGCTGTGAGAACCACTTCCTGTTAGCCATTTCCTGTTAGCATTAGCATACTGTGAGTGTTTCATCGGGTCTTTACCTCTTTAATCCCAGTCTTTTCTGATGGATAAACTCTCCCAGGAAGCTGCCAGCAGGTTTTTTGAGTCTGGATCTGTTTGACATGAACAAAACCAACTAAAGTTAGTTTTTTTTATCATTATGTTAGTGTCCAAATGCATGTTATTATGATACTATAGTATTAATGGTACGTTACTAAGTGTGGGTGTATAAGAGTGTCTCCCAGTGTCCCAGTATAATTATCGAGGCCTGATTCATTCATCTGCTGATAAAACACTGGTATCATGATACACAGAAACTAATAAAACACAATATACTGTATTATAGCGTGAAGCTCTTCTTACCGTAGTCTCTGTGTTTGTATGGTGTCCACTCAGAGATAAAGACTGCTCATCAGGACTGAACACTGATCTGGAATCATCTGTGGTGATGTGAAGCAGCTCAAAACGCACAGCACCACTGATCCCAGAGCAGCAGCAAACCACAGCATGACAGCAGCTCAGTGTCAGAGCTGCAGGAGGAACCGGGTTCAAACAGACAGACAGTACAATACAGTAATAATAATTACTATAAATAAATAAACAAAATAAAAAGTAAAATTTAATTATGTAATATAATTTTATATAATATCTTTCACATTTAATTACCTTAAATAAAGATGTGTATTATTATTATTACTATTAGTATTATTATTAGTAGTAGTAGTAGTAGTAGTAGTAATATAATTAAGTCATTTTCCTAACCATTTTTTTGAATAACATATTGAATCTGGAAATAAATAAATAAATACAATTATTTAATGCATTTTTTAGTTTTTAATAAAAATATTAATTATATTATTATTATTATCAGTTTATATTTTATCTTTATTATTTAATTAATTAATAAAAAAGCAGCCTTTAAGTAATAGTAATCTTTCAACAACCATATTAAATCTTGTTTTAGTTTAGTTTTTTTTGCAAATAAAACAACTAATTTACTTTTTATATAAAATTAAATGTTATACATATTTTTATTATTATCATCCTGGTTGTGAAACCCTAAAAAAAAAACTGTAAATTGCATGGTGTATTTTCAAAGCTGGCCACAAGAGGACGCTACAGAACTCACTGTGTGCAGTGACTAGTGTTTAGAGTACAAGAACAGAGTAACTGAATTACACAACTGTACAAACAATTCAAAAACAATCAAACTAATAAATATTAATAAAAACACTTTTAACAACCTCAGAAATCTTATAAACAGTCTTCTCAGGGCCATTCATTGACCTCTGAGATTCATTATGTTTATGAATGTGTAAAACACTGTTTGGTCCCGTAACAGCTCATTCAGTGCTCCTCATGTGCGTCCGAGGCCCCAGGATTTGAGAGCTGATCCGTCTAATCTGTATTAGGCAGATTTCAGCATCTCATGTGACCAAATCCTGTTTAAAACCCTTAAACGCTTTTGTTTTGCGCTCGGACTCAGAGTGAGGAATCGGACCTCATGCTGGGACGCGGAACTCACACCGAACACACACAATGGGGAGAAGGCGAGTTATGCAACCCTGGGGCCGCATTGTTGATCTGTGGAGCTCATTCTCACACACACTCACACACATCCACCCTTAAAACAAACAAAGATCATACAACACACACACATACTAACACAAACAATCACTTGTAGTGACAATCATAATCAGGTTCAAATGGCTGTGTGATCCTGTGATCCACGTGATTGTTCTGTTCCTCATGCGTTTGCTTCATAAGTTATGACCTTACAGAGAGGAAACAAATCAAACAGATCGCAGGACCTTCAGCTGAGGAGGAAATATAAGTAACGGACAGGAAACAACCTGATAGAAAAACACAACTCAGAGGAAGAGCACGTACCCTTGAAAACCTTTCACTGACCCTCACGCCCTGCGATACAACACGACTGACTCTCAAAACACACAATGAGCCTCAAAGACAACCCACTGATGTGTTAAACACCATCTGAACACCACAAAAACACTACAGTGAAGATGCAAAATGCCCCATTCACCCCAATGATCCCCTAAAACACCCAGTGACCCTCAAAAAACATCCAGAAACTCCAAAACACCCAGATTACTCCCTAAATACTTAATGACACACAAAAACACACAGTGACCCCCAAAATGCCCAGAAACCTATAAACACCCAGATTACTCCCTAAATATATGACCCTCAAAAACACCCCAATGATCCCCTAAAACACCCAGTGACCCTCAAAAAACACCCAGAAACTCCAAAACACCCAGATTACTCCCTAAATACTTAAGGACCCTCAAAAACACCCCAACGGTCCCCTGAAACACCCAGTGACCCTCAAAAAACATCCAGAAACTCCAAAACACCCAGATTACTCCCTAAATACTTAAAGACCCTCAAAAACACCCCAACGGTCCCCTGAAACACCCAGTGACCCTCAAAAAACATCCAGAAACTCCAAAACACCCAGATTACTCCCTAAATACTTAATGACACACAAAAACACCCAGTGACCCCCAAAATGCCCAGAAACCCATAAACACCCAGATTACTCACTAAGTACTTAATGACCCTCAAAAACACCCCAACGGTCACCCAAAACATCCAGTGACCCTCAAAAAACCTCCAGAAACTCCAAAACACCCAGATTACTCCCTAAATATATGACCCTCAAAAACACCCCAATGATCCCCTAAAACAGCCAGTGACCCTCAGAAAACATCCAGAAACTCAAAAACACCCAGATTACTCCCTAAATACTTAATGACACACAAAAACACCCAGTGACCCCCAAAATGCCCAGAAACCCATAAACACCCAGATTACTCCCTAAATATATGACCCTCAAAAACACCCCAATGATCCCCTAAAACACCCAGTGACCCTCAGAAAACATCCAGAAACTCAAAAACACCCAGATTACTCCCTAACTACTTAATGACCCTCAAAAACACCCTAACTGTCCCCTAAAACACCCAGTGACCCTCAGAAAGCATCCAGAAACTCAAAAACACCCAAATTACTTCCTAAATACTTAATGACACACAAAAACCCCCAGTGACCCCCAAACTGCCCAGAAACCCAGAAACACCCAGATTACTCCCTAAATACTTAAAGACCCTCAAAAACACCCCAACGGTCCCCTGAAACACCCAGTGACCCTCAAAAAACATCCAGAAACTCCAAAACACCCAGATTACTCCCTAAATACTTAATGACCCTCTAAAAACACCCCAACTGTCCCCTAAAGCACCCAGTGACCCTCAGAAAGCATCCAGAAACTCAAAAACACCCAGATTACTCCCTAAATACTTAATGACCCTCTAAAAACACCCCAACTGTCCCCTAAAGCACCCAGTGACCCTCAGAAAGCATCCAGAAACTCAAAAACACCCAGATTACTCCCTAAATACTTAATGACCCTCTAAAAACACCCCAACTGTCCCCTAAAGCACCCAGTGACCCTCAGAAAGCATCCAGAAACTCAAAAACAGCCAGATTACTCCCTAAATATTTAATGACACACAAAAACACCCAGTGACCCCCCAAAATGCCCAGAAACCCATAAACACCCAGATTACTCCCTAAATACTTAAAGACCCTCAAAAACACCCCAACGGTCCCCTGAAACTCCCAGTGACCCTCAAAAAACATCCAGAAACTCCAAAACACCCAGATTACTCCCTAAATACTTAATGACCCTCAAAAACACCCTAACAGTCCCCTAAAACACCCAGTGACCCTCAGAAAACATCCAGAAACCCATAAACACCCAGATTACTCCCTAAATACTTAAATACCCTCAAAAACACCCCAACGGTCCCCTAAAGCACCCAGTGACCCTCAAAAAACATCCAGAAACTCCAAAACACCCAGATTACTCCCTAAATACTTAATGACCCTCAAAAACACCCCAACAGTCCCCTAAAACACCCAGTGACCCTCAGAAAACATCCAGAAACTCAAAAACAGCCAGATTACTCCCTAAATACTTAATGACCCTCAAAAACACCCCAACGGTTTCCTAAAACACCCAGTGACCCTCAAAAAACATCCAGAAACTCCAAAACACCCAGATTACTCCCTAAATACTTAATGACACACAAAAACACCCAGTGACCCCCAAAATGCCCAGAAACCTATAAACACTTAGATTACTCTCTAAATACATGACCCTCAAAAACACCCCAATGATCCCCTAAAACACCCAGTGACCCTCAAAAACACGCAATATACAGCTGAGCACCAAAAACACCCTGCTGTCCTAAAATATGCTACTGATCCTCCAAAACAGCCCAGTGACGCCCTAAAATCCTCTAAAACAACCACTGATGTCAAAAACACCCCAACAATCCCCAAAACACTCACTAACTTTTAAAAACACCCCTCTGACCCTTTTACACACTCAGAACACCCTAAAATACCCACAATCCCTCTAAAACAACAGCTGATGTAAAAAAACACCCCAACAATTTCCTAAAACACACACTGACTTTCTAAATCATCCCACCAACCCTCTTACACACTCAAAACACCCCACTGACACCCTAAATTACCCACAAACCTTCTAAAACAGTGGTCGCCAACCCTTCGATCGCGATCGACTGGTAGATCTGTTATTTTCGCGAGCTACCAGGACAGTGATAAAGAATAATACATCATGTCTGAGTCTGTAAACAGGACGTTAACAGAGGCCAGAGATGCTATCAGTATATATTGTAATAAATATGTGATAAACGATTGTATCTGATTGTATTAGTGTATATAGAGTGATAGTCAGTGTAAAAAGAGCAGATGAACACAAAACAGCAGAACAACATGAAGTTAGAGGGTGAACTTGATCATTCAGCTGAACTGTGCTCGTGTGTTTGAAACACTTCAGCTCTTTATCTGTTCTCACTCCACACATCTGTTAAATGTGCGCAGTTTTCTAGAGTATTTCTTCAACTTCTCAGGTAATATCAATGGTGTGACCTATTTCAGATGCACCGAAATTACAACAACAGTGGTTACATACACATATATTTAATTGTTTGATCAAAATTATTGCTAGGGACACTTTAGTAGTGGCTGATATTAGTAGGAACATGTCATAGCATCTCTACTCAATTCTACACCCTTGAGTCAGACCGTTT